AATATTAGAGGAAAGAGACCAAGATGCCAATATCTGTGGGGGATGGGGCAGAGAGTAAGTAGTGAGAGAAAGAGCACCCATGGGTGTGGGCATGGACCTCAAAGGACTTTTTGCCTAACTTCCCCATAATTCTAGCAATGCCACTGCAAGTCCTTATTTTCCCAACGGACAACAACTTGCTCTCACAGCCAGGACTTTAGGGAAGGGTGGAGATTGCACAGACCCTGGAAGAGATCCTTAAGCGCAGTGCAACTCCCAGGCCAGAAAAAGCTCCCTGGCCTTGCTCCTGGCTGCTGCAAGTGGACGGTGTCAATGTTCCGTAAGTGTCATCACTCTGTAGGAGTGTGACTTTCTAATATTTTTTTTCATCAGTCAACCACTTTGTGCTTGGAAAAAGTGTTTTGAAAAGAGGTCCTAAAAAACTTCAGAAATGAACGTAAAACTTGCATCAACTATTTTTAACTATAAAGCATAATCTGCAGACGTTTAAAAGTCACATATCCCAGCTAAAGCCTTGCAGCAATAAACGCTAAACGCTGGGCACCTCTTTGGTTTTATATGGTTCCAAGGGGAAAGATTTGTAAAAGTGTGCCATTACAACTTCGGATCCTTTGCCCCAAACAAACTCCTACTGAGCTGGCCCTCAGGAGTCAGCCTTCGATGGATGCTCTTGAATGTTCAGTGCGCCAATCAATGTCCTGCACCATATTGCACAGGTTTACTCCACATCCTATTAAAAGTGGGCAACTTTCTTCTGATAAGTGGGCACAGTAAGCAAGTAGCCTTACTTAAAATAAATCAGGCTTCCACATCTTTGATCATTTGCCAGTTATCCCCCTGAATTTTAAACCAGCAGCTAAGAATGGCAAGCTCCCTCCCTAAAAAAAGAATGAGTGACAAGAGCCCTTGCCTTGCCCGTCTCCCATCTGGGGTGGCACATGGGCTACTTGCGGCGGCGGCGGGGGGGGGGGACTTCCCTACTCGAAGCTATTTAATACCAGATACCAAGGGGGGGGGGATGGAGCGGGAGGAGCCTCTCGAGATACAGGTCCACGGGCTCGTTTGCAGAACCGCGTCCAGGAGAGCAAGCTCCTGAGCTTCCCGGGCTGTCCCTCGGGCCCCAAGCAGAGGGCAAAGGGCTCCTCCGCGCTACTTACCCAGGCAGGGAGCTGCTGCAGGGCGATTCCTTGGCTGATGGCTTGCTTCTCATCCTCGACCAGCCCGAAGGCTGCCGACAGCCGGGAACGCTTCTCTCGCCGGTTCCTTCTCCACCACATCCAGAAGAGCAAGCCGATCAGCACCCAGCTCGTACTGATCCCCAAGTAGCCGGCCAAGTAGACCGGGGCAAGGCACAGCAACGCCCGGACCGCGAAGGATCTGAGCTCACGGAGCACCGGAGGAAGTGGCTTCGCTTCGGACCGCGAAAGTTGTTCTTCGCTCGGCTCCATCTGAGCGGCGCCCGGGTGGGCAAGGGCCCGCTGCCCCGGCGCCGCAGCCGCCGACTGCATGGCAGGTAGAGCCGGGCGAAACCGCGAAGTACGACGCCACTCCT